ACATATCGGTCTATAGTCTTTTGTGTTTTAATAGAAATATATTACTAATTAAATCAAGTATATAATAGTAACATAATCAGATTCCAATCATTTTTTATTTAAAAATTAAGAAAGAATTAAGAAAGAGTCAAATCAAAAAAATTGTAATAATTTAATTAGAATGTTCAAAAATCTTAGTTTAAAATTGCCTAATCAGAATTAATTAAAATTTAAAGAAAATGAGTAATTTGAAAAAATTAAGCGTTAATTAATGATTAATGAGACAAAAATAGAAGAAAAATAAGATGATTAATAAAAAATTGAAAATAAAATTGAAATTTTGAAAAAAATTGTTGATGAACTAATAAGTGAACATAAAACAAAGGTGATGATCTAATAATGATCAAAAAATTGGAGAAAAAAATTTTTAAATCAAGGGAGAGAAAACATAGACAGTGTGGGGTGGGGGTGGTTCTAAGGGTGTCTATTTATAAGAAAATCAGATTGGATCTCGTGTCGGGATCGGAGTTCGGGTGAGAAAAAGCAAGACAGGGTTCCGGGTAACTCAACACATCCTTGTCTTAGTTATTCGGCTCTAATTTGGATTTCAATTCTCTCTCAATAATTAAATAATTAAAAGCTCTCACTAATTTAACTCCTAATTCTGGATAGACGGTTGGTAGTAGAGGTGAATCGGTAATGACCAACGTGCCGGAAATCGGAACTATCGGAAATTGGAATTCCGATTCACCTCTGGTTGGTAGGAAGCGACATAAGCTTTTACCCCATTCTAGACCCACCGACCTTTTGGTGGATTCCACGAAGAGAGGGACATCTCAACTGTCTCTAAACTCTTGGTGTTTCCACAGCGATGTATTAGGTAACTATTAACCCTTGGAACACTTAAATTTAACTTAACCACAGGCTGTATTTTAAACCCTTGATAATTAATGACTAATTAACGGGTTCTCATAAATAGAAAATAATTATTTTGAAAGATTCATTTATTATTTAAAATTAAAGGAAATATCGTTCTCATTACTACAACACAAAATTGGAAAGAAAATTGTCTCTCGCGTTGATTTTCTTGCGCGATCACAACAAAAGCATTGACCCGCTGCTCAAACCAAAATAAATAAAAAGCTTTTGTTTGCGCTCAATTTTGTGTACAAATATAGAGGGGGAAACCGCATTTTCTAAAAATTTTTGAGCTGCTCTCGCTCGATAGACGGGAAAAAGTTGAATGAGAAAATCGAGTATTATGTAAATTGGAAATGGGAATAATATTAAATTATAAAATACATTATTAAATTAATAAAATAACCTCTTTTTTACGCACACTATGATAATTGTATGTATAATAGAGGACAGAATAGTAAAGGTAACGTAACGTAAAGGTAAGCCTGAGAGTTTATACATGTATTTCAATGGGTCTCAGCGAGTGGGAATATCCCAATAGAAGCCCCCCATCTATTAGGGATGGGCTTCTATTGGGATATTCAAGTTAAATATTAATTAGCTGAAAAACAATTAATAGGAGCTTGATTTTATCATAAACGTAGCTTATAATAAGGCTGAATGAAGAAGCATAATTATAGTTTGCAACACCGTTCAGAAAATTTAAAAAAGCTTCTAATTGGACTGATTAGAGGTAGCGTAAACTAGGAGAGCTTAAACATTTGGATGAGTGAGGATTAGAAGTCAGGTTCAGATTAACTTTAAGCTTAAGAGGTAGAATGGACCCCCTTATTAGAGGGTCGTACGATATCTCAAAAGAATCTCGATTCACGATAACCGAGATATACGTTAAACTCCACTCACAAAAAAGAGTGCCTGAGGTGTCCGTGGGACTTCGAATTCACAACTAAAGTAGGCATGATTTATCTGTCACCAAATTTCATCCCGAAGTCCCGCGGACACCTCAGGCACTCTCCTTAGCACTCTCCTCACTCTCCACTCACTCTCCTCACTCTCCTTAGCACTCTCCTCACTCCTCCTCACACCTCAGGCACTCTCCTCACTCTCCTTAGCACTCTCCTCACTCCTCCTCACACCTCAGGCACTCTCCTCACTCTCCTCAGGCACTCTCCTTAGTCAGCACTCTCCTCTCCACTCTCCTCACTCTCCTCACTCACTCTCCTTGCACTCTCCTTGCACTCTCCTCAGGCACTCTCCTTAGTCAGTCCAATCACTACACTTTACTAAACTTTCTATTAGACATTTAAAATAATCTGTCAACAACAACAATAAATTATATCCACAAATCACCTTCAAACTCTCCCCCAGACTTTCATTTATCAAAATAAGGAAAGCAAATCAGTAGCGATAACAGATTATGGAAAGGAGAATTTTACATAAATATATTTTGCGATATTTGAAAATTTGACCCAATTCTGAGATAAATATACGAAAATTATTATTTAAATATTTGATCTAAATTTATATTAAAACTGGGCGGAAATGGGTAAAAATAAATTTTATTTAAATTATTATTTTAATATTATAATTTTACGATATATTTAAATACCGTAAATATCCTAATATAAGCCCTGTAAAGCAGATCAGTTATTTATATCCTAGCTTATATTTTTCAATACCTCAAATCGGGTGGACTTATAATAATGCATGGGCTTCTATTAGGATATTTACGGCAACTGGATTATAAGTACATTATATTTAGTAAATATACATGAGGGATTAGTCGATTTTATTATGGTTAATTTTTATTATGGCTAACTTCCAATCTAAGGTGTTCTCAGGCTGTACACTAAATAAAGGTCTTCAGTAAATAGAGGTCTTCTACAAAAATTAGTATGTGAGGGGGGTTAATGGGTATATAAAGACCCCGTAGGGGATCTTCATGGAGGAGGTCTTAAATAGGAGTCTTCAGGGGGGATATAGTGGTCTTCATGCGAGGTCTTATGGAGGAGATTTTCATGGAAGTGGGGGATCTTTTTGGGTAAACAAAGACTCCTTAGGTGATCTACATAGGAGGTCTTAGGGGAAATCATGGATAAAATTGTAGAACCGAGTGTGCTGTTACAGAAAATTAAAATTAATGAAAATTAAATATTTGAAATGATTAATAAAGTAAAGCGTGCGGTCAATAATAAAAACAAAAATAATTCAAAAATAAAAATGAATTAATCTGTCATATAAAGACTAATTTTTCTATAAAATATGACCTGTTTTGTGCGCAATATAAAAATAAAAATTCTCGTGATTTAAAGGAAAGTCAATTTAATTTATAAAGTTTCCGGTTTATTTGTGGAGAAAAAACGTGATTAATTTAAACTTTGTGGTAAAGCTGATGATTTTAATAAAATCGAGTGATCCAAAGGGAAATAAACATAAACTTGGGTCACGCCCAAGTAGGCGCGCGGCCATAATAAGCTGGATAGGATTTGGAAAAACCACAATAACTTGAATGAACTTAAGTGGTACCTATCCGTTATATACCCATAAATTAATTGTCAGCCAACTCTGATCGGCTATAACTTTTTAGGCCTTGATCCAATTCAAATGAAACTTTTATCATTCGAAAGCCCTCGATATGCTGTGCACGTAAAGGGGCGAGTGGACGATCTGGACAAAGTCCTAAATGCACCTTAATTAAAGATTATTATTAAAGCTGCTAGGTGGAAGAAACTGCCCGAGCGATAATCCGTATTTAGCAACTCTCAAATTTATGATAGTACCCCCTCAATATAAGGGATATATAAGGGTATAAGGGTACTACTTCCACCTAGTAGCTATTTATCTTTAATTAAGATGTATAAGCGATATAATAGAAGGAGTATATGTAAGTATAAAGGGTATATGGGGTAAAGGGGTATAATATAAGGGGTATAATGGGTATAGTATGATGGGTATAGTATAAGGGGTACAAGGGATATAAGGGGTATATACCTCAATATTCTTCCATCCCCAAAGGGGTACCCAAAAATGAGGTATGAAATAATTGATAATTTTTTAGAATCATATACTAGCTGGGTATAAAAAGCAGCCAAATTAAATAGAGAAAACCTTCCTTTGAAGAGCTACACCACTTTACGTAAAGCACGCTTTATGTGGTTTCGCCTAGTCGCTATAGGGTTTCTCCGCAGAAATGAAGGAAAATGAAGGAAAAATGGAAGTAAAATATTGTGTATTACCCGATTTTTAAGGAGTGCGCGAAGAGAACTTTTTATAATTTATTTAGTTGCTAATTTGTTTCGACAGACTAAAAGGAATTTATTTGAAGAATAATTATTTATCAAATTAAATTTAGTGATATTTAGGGAAAAATTTTTTTTAAGACTTGGAAATTTACCCTAATATTTTTAAAAAGGGGGAAGGTTTAAATTTAAATTTTTTCCTAAATTTTTATTCAAATTATCGTTAAAATTCCCGTTACATAATCCTTGTATTACAATACTTCCACTTAGGGAGATATGTATTAGATATTGACATCATAGAATTTGTAGGATTATGCTGATTTCGAGCAGTTCCACAATATCTTCCATGAATCCCAATTCTTTTTTAATATAGGTATATTAACGTTAGCTCATCGAGATAGCTTAAAAACTTTGTATGTACTAGGGATGGGACGGCTTGAGAAAAAAATCGGGTCGGGTTTCGAGTTGGGTTTTCAAAATTTTCTTCGGATCGGGGTTAGGGTCGAAAAAAGTCCGTGTTTCGGGGTTCGGGTAACCCGTCCCAGACCTGATATGTACTCCTAAGATATTTTTATAACACTTATCCATGATATACTATCCCAGAAAATAATTAACATGGAGTATTTTTGTCTATTTTGAGTTAGTGTTACTAATGACATTACTTAAATTGGTGTGCCATCATCATGGCATCATGGTGTGGCATTCCGAATTCATTACCAAAATGTATGTGATTTCATATTTTTAGTCATTCGTGGTACTCAAAAATTGAGATCTTTATTTATTTTTAATAAAAGAGATCAAATGATTAAAGCAAGAATTAAAAATCTGGAGATCTTTTCTTCAATTCTTTTAAACAAAATTAGTTTACTTTTCCTCCATAAATTCTGAATTTCTTTTTCCAAAACGCATCCATTTTCCAGAGCTTGGTGCTCTCTGTAAATTTATTTGAAATTTAATTTTTACTTGAGGATTATGCACTCTAATTGTAGTTTCTTTCACTTAACTTTTCTCTATCGCCTAAGGCTATTTAACTATTTTTTTGTCTATGTCACAGTTAACTTCACTTATATATCTACTAGAGATTCAGCTGGACCTGGACCAAGGCCTGGGTTTCTCCTGTACCCAGAGTCCAGGTCCAGGCATTTTTTACCTTCCTGGGTTTTTCCTGGGCATGGGTTTTCCTGGACTACAGGCCTAGAATTTGCCCAGGTCAATAAATGAAACTCGAGAATCCAGGAACAGGTCCAGGCTTTTCAAAAATCTCGATCTCTAATATATATATACCCTTGGGACTATAAAATAGTAAAGTGCTTTAGACCGGACTGTATATGTCGTAGGTGACTTGCACGAGTTATTTTGGAAAAATTTCGGTCTTGGAATCGAGATTTCTTTTCGGTCTCTTAAGTTTGCTTTATTATATATGGAGTATGCATTAGCCAACCCCCTCACCTAGTGGTTAACCAAATATATAAGGATCGTACATATTTTTTCTATTTTTAGAAAGGATATCCATACCCTTCATTATACCAAACCCTTTGGAGGTCTAGTATATTGACTCTTTTGAGGTCTGATATAATATATTTTTATCAATTATTTCCCCAGTAAAAGATACACACCTTTCCAAAGCGCATCCATTTGCTCTGCTGTGGCACTCGTTTGCCAAAACGCATCCATTTGACTCCATTCTCTCGAGCTGCTCGATAGAATGGGTCAGTGTTGTCAAACTCGTCCATAGACATTGAACCATCGAGCAAATTCTATAAGAACAGAATAATATAAGAATTAGCATATGGTCCTTCATGTCCCTTTCATCCTACTCTCATGTTCTCCTTGCTCATTCCTTTGTGATCCGTTCAAACTAACTCTAATGACCCTGGGTACATCCCAAGGTATCGCAAGCCTAAGTACCGCAAAGCTATAGTTCAAAGTGATCGAATCCAGGACGCACTGGCATGGTTCGATAAACCTCAATGAACTGAGTCGAACTATACCAGGGCGTCCCGAATTCGAAAATTTTGAACGAAGTTATAGCTTTGCGGTACCTTGGGCTCGCGGTACCTTGGCCTGCTCTCCTGATCCTTTACCCTTCTCTCATGTTCCCCTTATTCTACTCTTATTCTTCTTTTGCACTTCCACTAATGGGTCCTTCTCCCTCTCACACATGTTCCCTTCTCGCTACTCTCAATGAACCGTAACCCTTAATCCTTATCTAACTTTAATACCCTTATATTCTCCTCATTTTACCCTTAATTTGCCTTCACCCTACCATTAATATTTGCTATTTATTCCAAAATTTTTACTGGGACAAAATTTCTTTTTTATTCAAAATTTATTTTTAATATTCCTCTCATATCCAGACCATTTTTCATTTAAAAGTACAATTTTTTAAGGTTAAAAAAACAATTAGTCTTGTCATAAGGCTTTATTATTTTTTAAAAAAATTTTTAAAAGAGATATAACCCTTTGGGAATTTAATGTTCTTTTAATAATTCATTAAAGTATATGTTTTAGAGGATGTTCTAGACATAATAAAAATGAAAATAATACATATAAAATGGATTAGAATTTAAAAAAGTCCAGAAATATCATAGATTATAAGGAAAAATCTGATAAAAATGGAAGCCCCTGACATAGCTGGTCCACCTAAAATCGACATCGGGAAACAAGCTTGGGATATGGGCTAGCAAAAATAGAATCAATTCCTACCAAAACATCTTCAGCTATAGCTTCACGCTCTTTTTAATGTTCCCTTCACACTACCCTCAATGTTCCCTCCACAATGTTCCTTCACACTACCGTCAATGTTTCTTCGACATTATCTTCAATTTTCCTTCCACATCACCCTTAATGTTCCCTTCAGACTACCCTCAATGTCCCCATTCACAATACACTCAACTCCCTTTAGATTATCACTAATGTTCCCTTAACACTACCTAGTACCCTCTCACTACTATAATGTTCCCTTCAAACCATGTTCTCTTCACACTACCCTTAATGTCCCCTTCCGACTATCCCTAATGTTCCTTTAACACTACCTGGTCCCATCACACTACCCTTAATGTTCCCTTCAGACTACCCTCAATGTCCCCATTCACAATACATTCAACTCCCTTTAGATTATCACTAATGTTCCCTTAACACTACCTAGTACCCTCTCACTACTATAATGTTCCCTTCAAACCATGTTCTCTTCACACTACCCTAAATGTCCCCTTCCGACTATCCCTAATGTTCCTTTAACACTACCTGGTCCCATCACACTACCCTTAATGTTCCCTTCAGACTATCTATGTTCACTTCACACTACCCTTAATGTTCCCTTCAGACTACCAGCCGTATAATGATACCTCCCACTGATACTACTAATGGATCCTCATAATTAGAGTCATTATCCTTCAAAATTCACCTGATTAGCAGCTCTTTCAGAATAAGGCCTCACTTGCCTACTAAATTGTTGTTGCTCTTGAGTAGCATAAACTTGGCTATTTTTATTGTTAATTAACAACAAAAATGTTAAAATGATAGAAATTAGCATAAATTTGTTTAATTTTGGAGAAAATTGGAAAAATGAATTTTTATAAAATTTTGTTGAGGAAAAAAATAATTTTTGTGTTTGCTGCATTTTTAATTAGCTTTATTGTTTTTTATTGTCTTTTCCGGTGCTTTATAGCTTTGTTGCTTTTTAATGTTTTATTTTCTTGCTTTTTTCTTTAGAATTTATATAGGGCTATAAAATAGGAAAAATAATAAATTTTTGTATATTAAGTACGTTAAAATTAAATTAAGCCTGTAAAAACCGGAAATGTCCTCCAGTCACCTGAAGTGCTTATAACCTCGTACCAAGATTCGTACTCGTACTCTTACTTTGGTACGAAGTAATATAGCTATACGAAGTAATATAGGCTATATTATGTAAAAATCAGAAAAACAAGTCTGCGCTCCTCCTTAATGTTCCCTTCACCCTACTAGTAGAGCGAAGGGAACATTGTTTCATTGAAGTGAATCGGAGAAAAAATTTTCAGTATTATTTTAAGGAGTACCACCAAAAAAATAGGCTATATGAAGTACGAGTACGAGCAAAATTAAAATTTATAAGCACTGGTCACCGGAAATGATATACGGTTCGTATACGGTTCTAGGATATCGATCCAGGTATCACAGGTCTCTCACGATCCGCCAACCCTACTCCACATTCCCCTACACGCTACGCTGGTGGAAGGATGTGGAAGGATGTTTCTTCTCCGAGCCGGTTAGATAATTTGAATGCAAAATAAAGGGATTTGGGGGATTTCAAAAAGAGTCAAATATTTAAGCAAAACTTTGAAAATTAATTAAATATGTATGTAAAATAAAACAAATAAATTAGCTAAAAAGGAAGTGAAATTGAAACTAGAAAAAATAAAAATTAAGTAAACCACCTGCTCCCGATTTTGTATTTGTTTTAGGCAATTTTCTGTTTTTATTTTTTAGTGGAAAAATAAAATAATAAAAAAGAGAAAATTTAAACGAATTAATTTAAAAAATTATTTTAAAATTTAATTCCCTCCAATTTATTACACCCAATGTCCCTTTCACTCTACTCTTATAAGTTCCCTTCACTCTACCATCAAGTTACTTAATACATATTAGAGGTGGATTTGGTTACGTCAGAAATGTCAGAAACCGATAATAATGCCAGAAAATCAGAATTCTGGAAATTCTGTAAAAAAATCAGAAAAACTAGTTTACTCTCTTCTTCATTAATGTTCCCTTCACCCTATCAGTAGAGCGAAGGGAACAACTTTATTTTATTATTTCAGAAATGTCAGAAATGGTGATAATTTCAGAAACAAATAATCAGTATCCCCGAAAATTCTGAAAAATTCTAAAAAAATCAGAAGAACAATTCTGCCCTCCCCCTTAATGTTCCCTTCACCCTACTAGTAGAGCGAAGGGAACACTTATTTTATTATGCCAGAAATGTCAAAAATTGTTAATAATGTCAGAAACAAATAATCAGAATTCTGAAGATTCTGAAAAAAAATCAGAAGAACAATTCTGCCCTCCCCCTTAATGTTCCCTTCACCCTACTAGTAGAGCGAAGGGAACACTACTTATTTTAATAAAATGAATCAGAAAAATATTTTCAAAATTATTTTAATGAGTCCTAATAGAGATAAATTAATTTATTTAAATAATTCTGGTTAAATAGAACACAAAAATTCAAAAAAAATTTCCAAGAAAGGACAACAAATCTAATTTAACCGCCAAGACAAGCTTCCGGAAAAGGCAAAATTTGCCAAAAAGAAAAATTCGTAGAAAAATAATTTTGGGGTAAAATAAACAAAAGAATGAAGAGAATGACTAGAATAATAAAGACAAAAAAATAATCAGAAATTCCAAAAAAATTTTTGTTCCCTTCACCCTACCAGTAGTGCGAAGGGACAAATAATGGGAGAAAAAAAGTAAATTAACTTCATTTACTGCAACCTTTTTAATTTAAAAGAATTATTTGGCAGCTAATAAGGGTGACAGATGTTTACCCTTTATTTTAGTCATTTTATGCCTTTTGTGCTATGTACGAGAATATTGGTAGGGAAAGACTAGGACTAGTGGGCGGTAGGGAGGACTTTACTGGGTTCCGCCTATTTCCTCTCCCTTCCTCTCGAGACTCTCGATATTTAATTCATTTAATTTTAGAGACTCAAACTAGGGCTCGAAAGTTACCTAGTGACTTGGATTTGATACTTGGAAATTTTACCTTTCCGAGCCCAAACTACAAAAAGTTAAAGCCGAATAGAGATAAAAAATCAGGATTGCACTCACTTATCAAGCTATAACTTTTTGTAGGATGATCTGATCAAAATAATCCTGTTAGGTAAAATAATTCTCACATCCATAGCTTTCGATTGATATATTATTTATTCAAATCGGTTAAGAATCAAAAAAGTTATGGCCTAAAATATGGCCTGGAGACTGAGTAGGGCTTTAACGTGAATTTTATTAGTAGCACATCTTATTGTTAGAGACTCAAACTCGGTGTTCGATACACTTCCCAACATCGATATTAGATGCCTAGCATGAGATGGGATCACTTCCGGTTCCGTCTTCCGCTTTTAAACATTCGGAAGTGCTTCAAACTCTTCCGCTCCCTCAATGTTCCCTTCACTCCACAGATAGAACGAAGGGAACCTTCACTCCCCCGCAGGTAGAACGAAGTGCCCATACCTGACATCTACCAGACGGATTTATACTTTTTCCTCTCCTACATCCCTATGTTCCCTTCACCCCACAGGTAGAGCGAAGGGAACCTTGCTTATATTTTATGAACAAATTCCCTCCATTTTCCACAGCCTGGTTAAACTAGCATTGCGTGTGGCAAAATAAAAAGGTCCAAAATATACACGCCTCGTTAATCCCAAAAGACCCTAAAAAAGACATTTATTAATTCATTTTTCTTGCAGGCTTAAAGAGGGGAAAAAGCTTTTTAAAAGCTTTACTGAATATTTTATCTAGTTTTTCTATAAATTTTCTTAAAATGGGCACAGATGGTCTTTGGATGTTTTGCGTAGGAAGAGGGGAATAATGAATATTAAAAATAGCTTAATCAAATCCCTGTCTAGTGTTCTTCCGGTTCGAGGAAAGGCTCCAAGACTCGAGGTTCCGAAGCTAAAACCGTGGACTGTCAGAAACGAAACCTCCCAGGCGGTTGTTTTACTGGGTCCGGTGTTCTTCAGGTTTCAGGGATTGGTTTCAAGAACAACTGCTTGCCATGCCTCGGTTTCCGAGCAGATTCCCAATACTGGAACCGATTAACCCTTAAAAAGAGAAACAGCTCTGGAATCGGAACCGCGCTACCGTTGGATTTTTTGGAAACGGAAGAACACTGCCAATGTCCTTTCACTCTACTCTTGAGTTGCCGTTCACACTATTTTTAATGTTCGGTGCGCAATACAATAAATACAATACGCAATACAATACAATAAATAACGCAATACTTGATGTTCCTTTAACACTACACCAGATTTTCCGTTTGGACTACCCTTGACGACCGTTCAGACTACCCTTGAGGTGCCGTGCGCAATACCCTTGATGTTCTTTCAGACTACCCCTGATGTTTCTTCGCACTATAGCAGGTGTTCCCTTCACACCACGGATGTTCCCTTCAGACTACCCTTGATGTTTCGTTCAGACTACTCTTGATGGTTCCTTCACACTATCCTTAATGTTCCCTTCACAATGTGAATATTAAAGAGGTCATTTAGGGGAGAAATGACTAAGAAACCTAAATGGCCAAGAGGTCATTTAGGGGAAGGAATGTTGGTTCAGAAAACACAGAAAAAACAATTTTGCCACTAAAAAAAATATATTTTCAGATTTATTACAATAAAACAAGGCTATTTTTAGAAAATTTAATCTATTCTTTCTAAAAATAATAAAAAAAAAGATTTTATGATGGCATTATCCCTAAAATGTAGCTATTTTTAGGAGGGAGTGTATTTTTGTGTTTTTGTTTTTATGCTTGGTAAACAGTTTAATTTGAGGGTTAGGCTGTTTTTGCAAGTAAATTGGGTGATTTTATGGCAATTTTATGGCAAAATATTTTTTAAATTATTTTTTAAATTAATTCAGAGAATTGCTCATTAATGCCAAAAATAAATAAATTTTGTTTAATAATTTTCTTGCAAAAGGTGTTGGTAAAAATAAATTTTTAAGGTGCTAATTTTTGGTGTTTAGTGAATGACATAGAATCCAATTTTAGAAATTTATTCAGATTCGAAGAATGCTACGAGGTATGTAGCATTCTAGGTATGTTCCTACGAGGTATGTTCCTTTCGCATTACCTAATGCTACGAGGTATGTTCCCTTCGCATTACCCTACCTATGTTCCCTTCATACTACACTCCTATTTTCTCTTCTCCTTATCAGGGATGGGCCGGGTTGAGAAAAAAGTCGGGTCGAGTTTCGGGTCGGGTCAGTTAAAATTTGACCATGAAGTCAAATTTTTCGTAAAGGTTGGGAGATATCAGAGATTTGGGCTATTAATAAGAGAATACATAGGAGTGATATAATAAGAGACAGGGATTAAATGAATTTGGATGGATTAAGAGTAATTTCATGGGATTTCGAGATTATCTGCTGAAGATATCTAATCCCCTGATTTATACATTGAATATCCACCTTAATCGCAGTAGTTCCCTTACCACTATTCTATTAGGTAGTACCACTACTCTACTCTTTATTATGCTCATGCCAAAGTACCCTCTCTTCGCACTACCTGTAGTCGAAGGGAACCTAAAGCTTGTTGATTATTCATTCTTAGATTAAGAAGAAAAAGTGCTGAATCCGATAAATTATACAAAATCCTTTTAAATTTTTAATGGGAAATTACTATGCCTTGAATTCAGTTGAAATTTCTTACGTAAATATACCTAAGTTGAAATTTGATATTATCTTAAAAATGGCTTAAATGTCCATTTGTAAATGTTTCAAAAATATTTTAAACACTTTTAGATAAAATATTAATGTAGATATAAAAGCTTGAATACGTAAGCATAAAAGAGAAATTTAAAAATAAAATATTTTTAATGTTCCCTTCGCACTACCCCTAGTGTGAAGGGAACATTTTTGGCAATATTAACCTTTT